GTAGCCCGTTGAACTGATATTTCTCGAAGAGCGCCTTTTTCTGTTCCTGAAACTCGTTATGCGCATCAGGTCAAATCTATCACAATACAGAAAATGAGACCAACTTTAAGACATGGAAAAATATTATAGAATAATGAGACAGAAATTCTTGAGGAGCGACGATGTCATCAATGCTTTTTGAGATCATGGCACATCCTGCCATTGAGTAAAAAATTGCAAAATACCCCAAATCCGTCCAAATTCCCTGGTGTGGTACCTGGTATCTCCTTCCCCAACCTTTTTCAACTTTCTCAACTTCCTACCACATTCCCGTCGAAGTCCCCAGTCAGGGCACATCATTAGTTGGAGATTTTGGTCGAGTCCTACGACCCCCTTCCCAACGGTGGCTTTATACCGACCCCCCCCCCTAGTTCTCTCCTCTGTTACGGTCGAGCTGCCGTATGGATACATGGGTATGTAGGCCTATGCGTGCGTTAGCGTGTGAAACAAGAAAAACGCGCGAGGTAATACGCAATGTTTTCGCAGAATTCCGAACTTTTCTAAACTTTCTCCCCAGAAATTTTGCGTGACGGGAAATGAGGGGTTAGGGAGTATTCAGAATTAGGCCGAAAAACACGCAACGCAGAGGGGGAGGGGGAAAATAACCTCTATCGAACGTCTCGAAGGCAAAGTATGACCGCTCTCCCTTCTCTCAACAACGAGCAATAACGCCCTTCACTTTGATATCGTGAAGGAGATAAGTCAAACCATCAGAAAGTTTTTTCTCAGGACCAGTCGGACACTCCCGCTGTTAGAGAATTCGCTGCGATGATATGCGCCTGTGTCCAGGTTCCCTCCCCAAAAAATGCAGGATGAGAGAGGAAATACAGAACTGCACAAACTGAAAAAACTGAGCAAAATTCAAAGAAAACGATCCTCACCCATCTCCAGCTAACCTAATTAACGAACTTCGTCATTTCTCGCTGGGATACTGTAGGACAGAGCAAGATAACCAAAAATGCATTATTATATTTGGCAAACGTTATCAGCCTGTGTTAAACTGTTCCAAGTCAAAGTGGTTTTATTCCATTGAACTTAGGATACGTGTGGCCACTGTCTCAGAGGATTTGGGCTGTCGGAAGATGTCGAACTTTTCATCACTTGAGCGGCTCACATTTTGCAAGGTCAATCAACCTTTCGTCTCAATAAGATTAAAATCGGTCAGTCAGCAGCGAATTGGAAACAAGGCGCCTTTTCAGGAATTGAGAAACAAGAGGCAAATGACTTCCAGTGTATTGGAACAAGGAGCGTGACCTTTACGAATCAAGCCACTTTTTGGAATTTGGAGTTAGGGAACGGCAAGGACGTTGGGGGGAGGAGGAGCTGGGAGAGTGGCATAGGGTTTCGGTGACCCATTGGGCATGGGAATGATATCCGTTACTTCCCAATATTTTCCTTATTTTTCTTCTTCTTCTATTTTCTTCGATTGTGTTTACTCAGGGCTTGATAATGTATTATTATTGCTTATTACTTTTATTAAATGCCTCTTTCTCTTTTAAACTGCACCACAAAACCGACGAAGATACAGATGGCTCCCAGATGGTTCCTTTCTCTTTAACATATATTACATATCCGCTGGTGTTTCTCTCTCTTACTATTCGTTCGGCGATGTTTAATTTGATGGGAAATCAGTAATCAAAAGGTAAGCCCAGTCTCGGCACCTATTTTCAGCATTCCCTGTGATAATGACAGTCAGCCGGAAGTGTGGCGCATTGGCGCATACGCAAGTGCCGATAGAATAGAGGAACAGCAATTAAGATTCGAATTAAAAAGAATTTCGAAGTTTTCCAAAGATCGAAAAGAAATAGGGCTCTAGAATTCAGAAAATACTATAAGAACTTGAATAAAGACTCGAATAAAGACTTTCTGAAAGCAAAACTCGGAGTACCAGGACCTTATGGGAATAAGGGACCATAGACGACCTCGAAGTTCTTAGGTTCTAATTCAGTGAAAAAATGTCTAAAAAACTGCCTTCGGAAGTATAATAATCTTTTTCTTTTGATAGAGCGTGCTGTATATCAGCGCTTACCTCTTTCCCTGGCGCCCCGACTGTTTTCCCCGTTCGGCTCCTGGCTTTTTGATGGAGAGAGGTGGAGGTGGAGGAACATCTGTCACACTCGTCCAGCACTTGATGTCTTAGCAGGCGTCATGCCATTAGTGACAAGATATATGCATGTGTTGCCAAGGAATCATACGAGTAGGCAACTGTCTTGGAGTACTCATAATAAGCACCAGAACCAGTATACTACTAGCTTGAAAAGGCACTGAAATGACCAACAAACCCAAAGGAAGGCCCACGATGGGTGCAAGGTTGCAAAAAACAGTCCCAAGTGGCCGACACTTCATCATAAAGTATCAGCTAGCGCACTCGTCTCCTTCGCCCCATTACTTTTTTAAACGCTTGTAAAGTTTTTCTACAAAACCGCCGACGGAGCATACCATCTGAAGCAAACAGCGACGTAACAGGGCAATAAAACCGACCCATAGGGTCATTTGGTACAAATGGCGGCGCCCGTTTAAAGATGTCCCTTCATAGTGACAGACTGTCGCGTTACATTCCCAAAGTGATTAGTTATAATGGGACATCGTTAGAAAAGGTCTTGAGGAACACGAGGTATGCAGAAAATTTTGTTATTAAGGAGAAATGGCATGGAACTGGTTCTGCAAGACCGATGAGACTGGCCTAAAAAAAGGGCGTTCAGACAGAACAATATTCACAGCGGTCTCGTGAGACGTTCTTTCCCTCCAATGACATTTTCCTTCGTTTGCACTGATCGACGAGGTGGAACACTGGCGCTCTTGCACGAGGACAAGGGAAATCGATCGAGGACTGGGATTTGAGACGGGTTTTTCATTATGGGAACACATATTTGGTTGCAGGTCGCGGGTTGTGGGTTCAAATATGGATTTTCGAGTCTTAACTGAATCGTCAGTGGATATTGAAACAGAAGAACTCGTTCAAAACGCTCACAATATGGCCCTTACGAGCACTGGACAGCTATAAAGAGGCAGGAATGTTCAACGAAATGTGGTGATAGAATCAGGGACTTCATACGGTTGTAATTCGAAAATCTTTTGCAAATAAGACCCCACAGGACCGTTGCTGCTTGGTACGGACTTCCTTCCCACCTCCCATCCTATCTCCATATTTCAGATCCTTCCACACTCCTCGGCAACAGATCTCAACACTTTCCAAAGTTCGAGTTCCTGTTCTCTTGAAAATGCTGTCAGAGGTGGGTCGAGGGCGGAGGGATTGAGAGGAAAGAGGTCGGAGCGTAACCGAGGAAAAGTTAAGTATTTTACAACTTTGACATTTCTTGAACTGCGCAGCAATACGAGCCCCCTCTTCTCTCCCAGCGACGGAATTACTCCTACTAGCCTGGGAACTCGGACGTGCGACAGTGCATGGATTGAGAATAGGAACCTGACGGACGAGTGGACAATACTCACCAGATCAGTGTTGAAGATGAATAATCCATATCTTATGGGTGGGCCTCAGGACTGAAAGAAGGCCTAGCGCTGTGGCATTAGCGTGTCGATTCACAAGACATCTGACACCTCTGACTATTATGCTTTCGCAGAGAGCGAAGTCCGCCCCCATATATAAAAGTGGGCGACCTGTTATCGCACATGGCGAAGAGTTACTCCAGAAACAGAGGGTACCTGTCGTATTCGACTCGCCGTAGGGGGAATTGGGTTATTTGGGCCGGAGGGCGTACTTTCCTAAGAACTGCACTTTTTTCGTTTCGGTAGGCGGTTTTCGTTCGTTTTGCATAAACAGGCCCTCTTCGGTCTAAGGATACTGATTAAATAGGCAGTGTATGTCATGTTGTGACAGGAACAGTCGTTACTGGGGAAACATAGTGATTTAATGCCAGTCCCACCAAGACTATATGGTCCATATCTAAAGAAAAACACAAGGAGGGATCCTAGGAGTGGCCAGGCGTCAGGAACGAACAAAGAGGCATAGAACGAGAGTGTAAAGAGGAGGCTCACAGAGCAAAAGTAGCAGTCGCCCGAAGCCCCTTTTCGCTTTTCGATATGGGTGATAACTACCAGGTCAACACGGATCGGGCATATTTCGCTGGGAGCTCTACTAGCTTTGCTACCGACCCTTTCAGGACTTCGACGTGCGCACTATTCAGGTACTCAGTTACTTTTGCATACGAAATGCGTCCAGGGCGTTCTTGATGATCTGATGCTTTGCAAGTTTATAGGCTAAGTCTAACACAAGGGCGACACAGTCAGTGGTATAGCAATCGAAAGCATCGGCGGCTGCCTTCATTCATCACTATCGCTTTCGATAGCGCTGGTGAGATTGTATCACAAACATTTACGATATTAAATTGCAAAAATGTATCGATCGTTCCAAATGTTGTAGAATAGCGAATAAAGAAAAAAGGAAGCAGCAAGGAACAGGTGGAAAAAAGCGTTGAACGAATTGGAAAATATTCTCGAATAAAAAAAAGAGCGCTGTATCATTTGATAGGACAATAACAGTTCGCGTTATATTTGGGAAACCCAGCAAAGCGGTGGCCTTCTTTACCTGAGTGGAGAGAGGGGTCGGAGGGGTTGATTTGTCTTCAGGAAAACATATGTGGGCTGTTGAACGCGGTCTCGAATTTTATTTCTGTATAACCGCGCTAATACAGCCCTCCCACTAACCGCGGTTTTTCGGGTAGAACTGAGGAATTTTGGAGAAAAAATACGAGAGGAGGGAATCAAGGAGGGGGAGGGGAGGCTCGAACTTCGCAGAAATTTTCTCCTACCGGCAGAACGTGCCCTGCAGGACATCCAGAGGGTTTCTGTGAAACTGGGATTCGCCCCTCGGGGATGAGGAGTCATGCCAAGCCTGGTACGGGGAGGGGCTCCGAAGCTGGTGAATAAGCTCAAAGGACGGTACTTCGATTTGAGTGGCACTTTGGCACAAAAAGCCCTTTCAATGACCCCCCCCCCTCCTTTCAGGTTGTTGGCAACTCTAGAAAGCCTTCGCTGTTGAGCAGTTCAATCCGCTCTTCATGAAGATTTTGCTGGGCAATAAATTGCCAACAGCTGCTCAATATGACCCCCAGCTTCTTATTCAAGCTCAATTCAACCGATATCGCTTGTATGGCCTTGAAATGCCGAAATTCAAGGTTAAGCTACCCTCAAGCGGGGACCGAACCCGCAAGGGTCGCGCAGTTTACGACGACGACGATGATGATGCTGATACACAGCGATGGTGGCATATTGATCGATCACTACGCTTTGCATCAATAAAAACTATTGAATGTGAGTAAGACAAGGAGGAACAAAGGAAATGGTGACGAAGAAGAGGGAAACATACCTCCTCCTCGGGTGAGTTGATAACGGCAAGCTTCTCTAGATCGACTTCTGGTTCGCGATCATCAATCGGCACGATCACCGCGGCTGGCATTACCAACTCTCGTTGTTGGTCCTCCTTCTCCATCTTGTCTATTTCCGCTTTCATTTCATCATCCAACTTGTTGTTCAATTCCTTCACATCCTCCTCTCCCATCTTATGATCGTCAAAGTCATTCTCCACCTGAAACAGTCCAGGGAAAACACTCTGGAAAGCTGCAGACTAGTTTTAATAATGAAGTCTATTACTACATAGTACCCACAGATAAACTATAATGGGGTCGGAAGCGGCTAAACACAAACAATCGCAAAGGCAATCAATCTGTGCCATTTGCGCAACCGCGCTACCCCCTTCCACCAGAACATACCTTTTTGTACTCGTCGACGTTGAAATCGTTGTTAATGTCCTGAAGTTTGATGTTGGCCACGTTTGGCGACAGTTCCTTGGCAACTGGTTCGTCATCTTTGAGTAATGAGTGAGAAGTGGGAAGAGGGCCAGATCGCCCAAAGAAATATAATGTAACTAAGGCCCAGACGCCAATGATGGCACAGAATGGGGCGACCTTTCGCCGTCCGAACATCGTACGGAGAGGCGACGAGATCGAACGAGATCGGCCACGCCTACACCACCAACACCACCACCGCCGCCAACACACACGCCACAGTTGATGCATAGGTAGAGAGACGAGTACGAGAGGAAAAGTAATGAGGGGGAGCTATGAGTGTCGGGGCAAGAAGTGGTGACGGAAAATGCGACTGAATAGCCTTTTCTCCGACTGTGTGACAAATGCTAAAGTGTGAAATACACATAAAACATTCAGCGAGCGACGTCGTTGAGCCTCGTTATGAATGATGTTCTGTCCGACGTCTGCGAATCTCCCACGCCAGTGCAGCAGACGTGACTACCGCCATCAACAGAGACATCATTCCTGGAAGAATTCGAAACATTTTCGATAAATCAGGTGGTTCCAGTGTCGTTCAAGATGAACTTTTCAATCATTGCACCAACTTTTATCATGAAATGGCGAGATTAATAGATGTCAGTTGCAAAGCAGATGGAACTATCACCCTCACTGGCAATATTTTCAGCAAATAGGAGAAGGTGACATGGTGACAATTATCGCCGCGGGTCAAATATCGGATCGAATCCCTATCAGACCAACATGGCCTTTTTTCCTATAGGGATTACTAGCATCCACCAGACTCGTGAAACAGGGCAGGGAAATCCCGAGTCATGTTCCTCTTAGGTCACCCAAGCCTTTTGGGTTCAATTGCCACTGTCAGAGAGAAAGAGGGCACAAATGACGAATGGAATTCCTTTCAGGCTAGCCAAGAATCTCACTTATTGGGGTCGTTTGACTGGTACTGTCAGGGAGAAAGTCGGAGAACAAATGAGTTAATTCCAGGCCAACCAAGGCTCTTACCTAATGGGTCGCTTATTTGGAAGTGTCAGCTAGAAAGTCGGAGGACACCAACGAGCGAGGTCCTTTGCCAAGTACGACCCTGTGAGGCTAAATTTACACGACCATGTTTGACCGAACAGAAAAAGAAAGCTTCTGGAAGGAACTATGTAGTAGAAATACTACAAAGGTGGACAACGGATAAATGGTAGTTGTTCGCCTTATTAGTCGTTTTGTTAGCCATCGGTTTCTGGCGCGAAGATATATAGAGTTCACTTGGAACACCAACGTGTCAGTTTCCCGTCCCCTTTAGAATGGCCAAAGTGTATCTGTCGCCAAAGATGTACCACATAGAAGCGGGCCGTAGAACAGCAGCCATAGGTTCTTGGGTGGTACTAGAAAACATGCAGAAGCCCTTCACCCTAGAATCCTGATAGACAGATTCCCTTTGCCTTTTTGTCGTCATGGCTCTCAAAGTCGCTTTCCGACTTGATTCTCGTCCAACTCCTCTCAACTCTTTGAGTTCCTTGTGAATCAGTTCTTTCGGGGCATTTCGCTTGGAAGAGACATCCTGCACTTTCACCGGTTCCTTTTGTTAAGTCATGTTTAATAACCTTAACTTTTGTGAAGCTGCGAAATGGCGCGAGTGAAGTCGTAGAATTTACAAGTCTCACAAAGTGAGCTGCACAGGCTTGGCTGGCTGCCATTTGGTGCCCCCATATAGCCAACTAAGTTTGCTGAAAGGAACGTAGCTTCGTGGTCGTCGCAAGTCGCTACAGGACCAACCTAGCCTACACATTTCATAGTTGTCCGAGATTGTAAAAACGTTGCCTCATGCTAGGTTGATCCGTGCAAGTCTATGTATTGAACGAAAAGCATCCACTCGTTTCGAATAAGAGTCTAACGCACTGCATATCTCAAAGAGGGGTTTATCAAAGCCGACTATCTGGTAGAGTTCGATATCGAAGACCGGGACTCCTGAGTGAGA